AAAGAAAGAAAGAAAGAAAGAAAGAAAGAAAGGCAAGACTCAAGAGCAGCCTGAGAAGTACACGGCAAGGGGACCAGCAGTTAGCGTAAAGGCTATGTTGCTGGCCTCATGTATAGTCGACCATGGTTCGCTTCCCGGACCTGGTGGCTTAAACTCACGCCCTGCCTCTCTGTCTGTCTGGCAAGCGCATGCGCCCTATAGCAAAAACCTCTCCGAAAAAAACAAGAAAAGTGCATGGAATGGGGGTAGGGAGCAGTTCCATGTTTCTAGCACCTCGATGTAGACACTCAGCCAACAGCTCCCCCAAACCCCATCATTTAGGGTTTTTAAAAAGATTTATTTTTAATTTGTATTTATTATCATTTTTCTTCAACTTTGACCAGAGAGAGAAAGAGAGAGAGAAAGGGAGAGTGAGAAAGCAAGCCGCCAGATCGGGGACTTGAACCGTGGTCAGCCATCTGGGAGTCTAGCCCGTTAGCCACCGCACCACCTACCGGCCCCCATGTAGAGTTTTTTTTTACCGGGGTTTCATCATGCAAACGCAACTGACTATGTCTCGGCCCTCGATAATAAGCTCCAATCATAAACCACCTCCCCTCCCCAGAGGTCAGGGTGGGGTTGAAAAGTTCCACCTTCTAACCCAGGCCTGGGTCTTTCTGGTGGCCAGCCTTCCGTCTGAAAGCTCTCTGGGGCCCCCTAGCGGCCAGTCATCACACTCACTCACAAAAGAGATTGATTAATTACTCAGGCCAGGGATTCCAAGGCTTTTAGGGTCTCTGTGCTGGGACATGAGGACAGAGACCAATACATATTTCTCATTATGCCACGTCGATGTTACATATGCATGACTTATGAATCCAATGCTTTAAAAAAATCTTTTAATTTGCATCATAAAGAGTCATAGGGGGACCAGGTGTTGGCGTAATGGCTGGGTCGCTGGTCTCCCATGTAGCGACTGTGGTTCCAATCCCAGACCCGCCGGCTTTAACTCACGCCAGGCGCGTGTGCGTGCATGCCCAAGATCCCGAGAGGAGAATGGAGGAGAAGGGATTGCGGCGTGGCCATCCTCCCTGGGGGGTGATTTCTCACTTTCTGTCTCTCTGTCTCTCTCTCTCTTTCTGGTGAGCGCACGTGCCGTATAACTTCTCAAAAAAAAAAATTCAATTGAAGTTGTAAAGACAGTACAGAGATGTCTTGTAAATTTCACCCAGTTTCTGTCAATGGTTACGTTATGTAACTAGGTTACAGAACAATATCCAAATCAGAAAACTTACAGGGAACGGCGTATGTATACCTCTATGGCCGTTTTGGTTTATACCATTTTTAAAAGAATTATTTATTTATTTTTGTTGTTGTTATTATTTTTAATTTGACCAGAAAGGGACAGAAAGAGAACCGGAAAGTGAGAAAATAAGCTGCTAGGTCCAGGACCCGAACCACAGTCGACCAGGTGGGAAGGCCAGTGCTTCAATTAGCATGCCACCTGCTGGCCCAGTTTATGCCATTTTATTACATAGAAATTCTTTTTTTTTTTTTGGAAAGGTTTTTGCTATAGGGTGCGCGCGCTCACCAAAAAGACAGAGAAACAGAAAGCGAGAAATCACCCCCCAGGAGGGATGGCCATGCCACAATCCCTTCTCCTCCATTCTCTCGGGATCTTGGGCACACACGCACATGCGCCCGGCGTGAGTTTAAGCCACCGGGTCCAGGACTCAAACTGCGGTCAGCTACATGGGAGTCCAGCAACGCAGCCATTACACCAACTGCTGGTCCCCAGGGGGAATCCCTTCTGATGATATATAATTCTGTGATGAAAATTAGATTCTGACAGACCAGCAGGTGGCAGGCTTGGTAATTGAGGTCACAGGATCACACCTGCCCAATGTCCTGTTCAAATCCAGGACTCAATGGCTTGAAAGACACCCAAGGTGTATGTGCGTGCATGCCCAAAATCCTGAGAGGAGAATGGAGAAGGGATTGTGGTGTAGTCATTCCCTCACTCCCCCCACCTGGGGGCGTGCCTTTTCATTTTCTCATTTTTCTTCTCTCCCTCTGGTGAGCAAACGTGCCCTGTAACATAAACTTTAAAAAAGAGGAGCCAGCAGGTGGCGTAGTGGTTAAGGTGCTAGACACTCCCACATGGCCAACCATGGTTCACATCCCAGATCTGGTGTGTTGCTTTCTCGTTTTCCCTTTCTCTTGCTCTGGTCAAATTAAAATAAATGAATAAATAAAATAAACAATTTTTTTATAGAAAGGGAAAGA